TTTATTTCCATGAATCTTCAGGTGCAATGAATGCTCAGATATATTCTGATGAATGTATTAAAATAGATTGTTTCCTTTCATGAAACAACATGGAGGAAAGAGAACAGTTTTCTGGCCTGATCTTGCCTCTGCGCATTATGCCTCTCAAACTCAGAAAGTTTTTAATGACTTAGGAATTTCATTCATTCCTAAGTCTTCTAATCCTCCTAATGTCCCTCAGCTTAGGCAAATCGAAAGCTTCTGGTCTCACCTCAAGGCTCAAGTTTATTCAGATGGATTTGTGGCAAAAAATCAATCTGAATTAATCAATTGAATAAAACTAAAACTTAAAAAATTTGATTCTGAATATTTTCAGAGACTCATGAAAAATCTTAAAGCGATGTCGATAAAGCATGTAATGGTGGGATCGAATATATTCGATCCATTCACTAGTTTATCAGCTTCAATTTTATACCAAAAAAATTAAATTATTCAAAAAAATAAACTAATTACAATCATTTAAACAAAATGTCCAGAACTTTTTCCCCACACGTTAGGATAAACTTCTTAACAAGGCTTTATAAAGGACCATACAGTGCTAAGGTCACTAACCAATGAGAGCACATCGAGAGAGTCCTTGTTGAGTAACTCTTTAATAAGGTGTGATCAATAAAAAATTAGGTTTATTTTATCAAATGTAGTTTTAACTTGATTATTGAGAATTATTAATTAATATTAGGCCAAACTAGCCCATAAATTTGATTGCAATTTTATTTATTAAACGCTTAGAGTGAGCGGTGTGAATTTTTAGCAATAAATTTCAAGGCATAAAATGTGTGCGCAATAAAAATGGCACTGACTTTAAATCCTTTTAATTAACTAATTAATTTAAATTGAACATTGTTTTTGGGTGCAAATAAAAGAGAATGATATTTGAAATAATGTGAGTGAGTTTCATTCCTTTCGATTGAATTTTTCACCTGAAAAAGTGACCTCAAAGATGAAAAACTTGAAAAATTAAATTTTCATCGGTAAAAAAGGCCACTACAAGAGAAAATCTCTTGCATGCCTAATCTAATGTTAAAAGCCTGAACCATCAAAAAATTTTGGGCTTACTTTTAGCGTTGACCAAATAAGATTGAGGTCGAATATTTTGATCGAACTACACATGTGTCTTTGTCAATTCTTAATAATTGAATTGAAACTAAAATTGATAAAATAAACCTAATAATTACCTAAATATCATTGTTTAAAGTTAGTCTCATTTTTTATTGATCACACCTTAGCTGATCATAATATGAAAGAATCAATTGTTGGAACCTTTGACCATTTAACTAGAACACTGTGCTTCCAAATGCAATTCAGATCCTAATTGTTTTGCTCTCGAGTTTTGTGAAACAATTGATTATAATCAAATTTCGGGTAGAAGCGCTTCATTGTCGAGTTGTACACTGACCAATTTAAAACCAAGTAACATTCAACCTCAACTTTTTGAAGAATCGAGAACAAAACCAAAATTTGTTCAATTTCATCAACCATAAGAAAATTACAGGATCCACCGATACAAACTAATACAACTGAATCATTAACGAAAAAATCAACGAAATCAAATGACTTCTCTTTAGCAATCGGATTGGGGACAATAGTATTTATTAGACTGGTCCAAACTAAGTTAGGAAACTTTGATTACGAATATTTTCAAGTAGAGATTTCGTAGCTCACTAAAATTTCAGAATCTTATAGAAAGATATCACAAAATTTTTTTTGTATAATTACAGAACGATAGCTATAATAATTAAAAAGTTATTAAAAATTTAATGCGAAAAATCAAGAATCTTCAATTTCGCTTATTTGATCGACTCTCAATGCTCAACCTGAAAAATAAATTCATGAAATTAACGCAAAATATTCGTTTTGTGTTGCTCTTATGGATGGACTACTCATCTGTTTTCAAAAATCAATCAAATTAATTTAATAATTAAAAAACATAAAAAATTGAAAAAATCTGCATTTGATCGGATTTGATTTGATTAAAATTTTAGTCACTTTGAAAAAGTCACTTTTTGACTTAAATTTTTCTAATTTCTCAATTAAAGAATTTTCTTCCATTTAATAAACTGCAAAATAATTCTACACTATTCAGCTATCACTAATTCAAATTTCATAAAAAAATTGCATGGATTTGTAATAATAAACCAATCAAAGTTACCTAATTTTGTTTGGACCAACCTAATATATTGGCGTTTGCTGGTGGATTCACTGGATTTAAATTTACTGCTAAGAAAGGATTTGTTAAAAAAGCTGAGTTGAAAATGAATGTTCCACTGAAACCAACTCTGACAACTAAATAAGTCAAAGGGCTTCATGATGATGATGAAGATAAAGATGATAACAATGAAACATTTTATAAAAAGACAATTTTAACTTTCTTAAATAATGGTTTTGATGAAAATGCCCAAATTTTAAACCCAAAAATCTCAGGAACCACTAACCATACAGATGAAATACTTTACAGTATTTCTTAAAAAATTGCCCTCTATCGATTGCGCCATGTCTCATCTAAAATGGTGAGAACAATCAGAAATAGTTCTCTTCTAAGTACACTGTAAAGCAAAACTTTTCTTACAAAAACAGATTCGATATTTTATCTTATCGTCAAGGGATTCATTAGTAATAACCCACGCCAAAGCATCCATCCCAATTTTCAATAACATTATCAGGTGAACGTGCAGGCCACTTCACAACCTTAAAATTTAGCTCATTGGTTTAGCTCATTAGCTCATTTAGCTCTTAAGTTTTTCAGTACATTTGGTGTTTAAAATTACATTCTTAAGCTTTTTATATCATTTATTGGGAAATTTTTTTATTCACATGAACATTGTCTGATGCCCAAACAGTTCTCATTGATGAAAAAATAAAACTTACAGTCACTGTTTGATAAATTATAATTTATTAAAACCTAACAGGAGATATTAAGACATTTCCCGGGTTGAAAATTCAGAGGTGATCATACCATGAGCATTAAATTGTCATAAATCTACGATTATTCTTCAACTTTAATGATAATTGGCCAAATAATTGTAAACTTATGACAATTCAATGCTCATGGTATGATCACCTCTGAATTTTCAACCCGGGTTCCTCAAATTATTAATACAACAAATATTAAAAGAGACATGAACAACTTGTTTAATGGTAACAATGGTCGACAAATTTCAGAATCCATTAGATCTATTAGTTAGCAAAACAAGAGAACAGCAAGGGAATTAACCGATTTTTTCAAAGATTAAAGGAGGTGAATATTTTGGTCGCCTTGAAACACCAAATGTTGCTTCAAAAGACAACTTTACATCTGGATCACATCGAACTCGATATTTTTGCAAAATATTCACAAGGTACAAGAATAATTCCACATTGGCTAGGCCTTCTCCGGGACAAATCCTTTTACCTCCACTAAAAGGGACCAAGTAAGGTAGTTTTACAGCTTTGCTACCGTCTTCAGACAGAAATCGATTAGGATCAAACTTTTCTGGTTCAGGCCATAGCTTTGGATCTCGGTGAATGCTCCATAAATTGAAGATTACAATAGTATCTTTGGGAATATTGTATTTACCAATCTTTGTGTCTCTTGAGGCTCGACGAAGTAAATTAACGGCAATAATGGACCCAATTCGTTGTGCTTCATAGAGATAAGCAATTGTGAAAGGCATTCGATTCCTATCCGTATAAACAGGTTCTCTGTCAAATCCAATAACATCGGCTATTTCAGCTCGTATCTTGTCTTGATATTCAGGATTATAAATCAAATACATCATAGCCCATGCTAATGTAGCAGTAACAGTTTCAGACCCAGCAGCGAAAAATGCAGTCAAATTACGCCTTAAAACTCCCATGCTGTACACTTGATCATTTTCATCTTTATTTTGACGATTTTTTTGTTCCACCAAATAGCCATCAATGTAATCATCAATTTCACTTTTACCAGATTTAGCTTGGTGTTTATCAATTTCTTTTTGCAATAAACCTTCAACAGCAAGTACATGGTTGTAAGCTACACTCATCCGAAATATCCCAAGAAAAGTTGATAACTTGAACAACCAAGGAAAGAATGCACTTAAACCAGCAAATTGAAAAGCTTGATTAACGCGATCCATGTTATGATCTAAATCGACTTTGAAGGGATCCGAATACTTAAAATTGTGGCCAAACAGTAGGATTGATATATTATTTGATACACTGGGTAATAGTTTTTCAAAAAAATCCACTTTACCCTCACTAATGGTTGGTAAAAATTGTTGTATTTCTTTACTTATAGCTTCTTCCATTTTACTCGTACCAAAACCAAGATCACGAAGTACATGTAAAGATAAACGTCTATGAGAACGCCAATGTTCGCCAGACATTTCAGCAAAAGACGGATATTTGATCAATCCTTCAAAAAACAGTTCATGGGGCTTAGCAAGTAGAGACTCATCAGCAAACGCTAACTTAAGATGATCCCAATCACAAATGACAACAACATCATGTTGTCCCAACTTTAAACTATAAACTGGTCCATACTTTTTGGATAAAGAATCAAACTCAAGGTAACTTTCATCTTTTAGGAATGGATAATAACCAACGATTGGAAGTCCCCATGGTCCAGGTGGTAATCGGAATAATCTTTTGATAGTTGTTACAAGAAAATTAAACACAAATAAAAATATGAGTCCAGTTGCTAAGCTGTATAAGGGTTGAGAAAAGACAAAATAATCGGTTAAAAACATTTCAATTGAGACACAAAATCACAAGTGGAGAAATGCAGTTTAATGTATGACAACAAACCTATTAACCAAGAAAACCTTTGAATCCTTAAAACATTGGTTATAATGCTATTGATAAAACCAATTGATAATCACCGATTGATTATTTTAGGACAATCATTATTTGAAAACAATTTCATAAACACTTCACGTGAAAATCAATCCGATAAGATCTATCTTTTTACAGATTCTTAATCTCTGAATGAGCAAACAATTGGGTAGAAACCATTATATTTTAATGATTATATTCAGGTATATGACAACTATTAGACAGGCACAAGTTTCAAAGGCTTCACTGAGAAAATGAAAGCTCTGAAATTTTCCATAGCAGTGAATTTAAATTCTTGATTGAAGTTGCACCATTTTCATAGCCATATGAAAGATTTGAATCGTGAACGACTTCAAGTTGATCCGCAAGTCCTGAAATCTTTGGATTACCTAGAAAGTAAAATTTTTACATTAGCAAATAATTAATTCTCGCAGTAGTTTCTAAAATATTCAATGATTTGAACAGTTATTCAACTTACCAGGGAATCTTTGTTTTAAAAAAGAAATGAAACTTTTGGCAAATTGGTAGACTTGTTCAGATGAAATGTTTGTTGGTGATGAAGAAACATATTTCAATGAATTCTCAATCAGTTCAAGAACATTTTCTTGATAATCCTTATTCACATTAACACCAGGTAACTTTTTGGCGACTCTACCAGCTTCAATTGCATCAAAGATAGTTTTGTAAGGTAAGAAATCTGAAAATATTCAAAGTAACCAGAAAAATTCAATGCAATTCAATTATTAATACATATTATACAATGTAAATTTATCAAAAAATAAGTCTATTTTTATGTTTAAATAACTTACTTGGATGTTGTTTTTCAAGGGATGAGTACATTTGTTTTCCTTCATCAGCAACTCGATCAATCAATGAACGTCCATCATTTGGAGCTGAAAAATGCATTAAACATTAGCACTTAATGAATCACAATCAAGTGTTTTACAATTGTAATGATGACTCACCTGGAGTTGGAATAGCGGTGACAATGGAACAAAGTACAAAAACTAATGGAATTGAAAAATTCATTACAACACAAGAAAAATATGAAATTGGAAATACTAAAATATGGTAACAGTTTGATCCAATGATTAATGGTTAATGATTGAAGTCAATGAATTTGCTTGCTTAAATATGCATCAAATGGCGCAAAAAGATTTTATCGATATGATTCAATCATTGAAAAATATATTTTATTATAACTAACCTTTTCTGTTGTTTTCATGTTCAATTGCAATGGATCGCGAAATTGATCAGAATTTCTGGGAATCTCTTATCCAATCTTCTTTAACGAGAATCAAAGGAAATAAATAAGTAAATACATGGTTAAATCCAATATTTATCTGTTCTCTATTCGTTTCAATAATAAGAACAACAAATTGCTCATTGGTTATAAGCAGCACAAAATCACATGATAAATCAATCTCTCAAAGATTCTAGTATCTTCAGCTCAAAGCTTAATCTTTGCTTCAGCTATTATTCAAGCACCATCTAGTGATGTCGTTATTGATTAAAACATTAGCTTTTAGTTTTGTTTATTTTTCTTGCAAATCCAATTATTGCTACCTTTCAGTTCAATTAAAATGGCTGTATTCAAAGAGTAAGACAATTAATATTAACTCTTATGCCCTACTCTTTGGTTTTTTTACCCTACTTTTGCTTCTTTTTATGGCATTTGTTTAAATTGATTTAGTTGGTTAATTTCCGTTGGCGTACCACATTCTGTATCTTCATAATCTTCAACATTGTGTAATTTTACGGTGAACAATCTTTGGTATATTTCTCTTGAGCTTTATCCTGGATTATTTGAATTGGCATTCGAACCGAGTTACAATTTTCAAATGATTGCTTGATTGGACTCCTGGAAAGCTCCAATATCGTTCTTTATTTGAATTTGTACATTTTGTGCCTTTTAAAATAGCCTAACATCGTACGCAAACAATCTGTGGATTCACTTCAAGTCTACATACTGATAAATAAAGAAATCAAGAATTTAAGGTGATTAAGTATATATTTAATGGACAACATAAAGATATTAACAAGGAAATACAGTAAATTTATTGTACAGTTATCTTCATATAATGGCATCATAACCATGGGCAACAACATGATTTAAACAGGCCTTTTCTAGATAATGTTGAAATTTCTCCAGACTGGCTGGGTCAAAGTTGTTTGATTCAACGATATTAGCAAAAGCATACATGTACTTCAAACCATAATAGTGTATAGCAACGTTCAAACAGCTTGCATTGAACTTTTTAACAATCTTTGAATAACTGTTATGATCAATGAGAGGAGATCGAATCGATAAAACATCAGCAGCATGGGAACAAAAACCTTTTGTGCAAAGTTCATCAATAACATTACGAATCGCTCTATCATAAAATCTTCTACCAGATATTACATTAAGTAATTTAGATTGTGCCTCTGAAGTTTCATTAGAGCTAAGATTGGAGGCCAGTTTTCGTTTCAAATTAAATAATGGAATATCTCTGCTATTATATTGACCTGTAACCTTGGCATGTTTAACGAACGCATCAATTGATGACTGGCTTTCCCCTTGAAATTCGCCTACATTCACATTGGCCAATGTTTTATCACCATACTCTTGGGGAGACGAGTTTTTTACAGTTTTGGTAACATGTTGGAATTGTGTTTCAAGAGGTTCCTTTGAAATAACATTTCCTTCTGAGTCTAAAATCCAAGCAACCGAGTATTCATCACCAAGACAAGTGTAAATATCTGGCTGGTCACAAAAACAACCATAACTTGACTCAAACGGATTGGCAGCTGTTGTGGCATAAACATTTAGTTCATCCGATAAGATGTTGTTAAACATAGAGCCTGATTCACAAGACTCCAAGTAAAATGTTAATTTACCATACATTTTGTTTTGGTGCATATAAGTCAAGGTTTCATTCAAATCTTGTGAAGTCAAAGAATCACTTGGAAAGCAAATAATTCCAGTTCCTCCATGGTCAGCGAAGTAGATGAAAACGTGATCATCAGGCCCTGTCTGCAACACTTTTTTACCTTTGGCTGCAAGCTCTTTATCTCCTTTCAAGACTTTCATGAAATTTTCCGAGTTCACTTCAGGACCAGTGTAATCCTTTGAAACTCCTTGGTAAACATCTGTTCCGTTCGGTACATTAAATATTCGACCAGGATAAGGATTTTCTTTATTATTGGCAATGTCATCATACATCATAACAATAATGTTTTCACTTGGCACTCCATGACTTCGAAGCACCTGGTATGCATGGCAAACATCAGCTTGGTGACGATAATTTTCAAATCCATTTGAACCAGCAACTAAAACTGCGTGGATATTTGATGATGATTTGGTTAAACTCAAAGATTCAGGGATCGCGCTGGATAAGCTCAAGGCTACACAAGTTGAAAGTAGCAAAGGAACTGAAATAAACTTCATCTTGACTGAGTCTATGACTTCCAGTGGCACAGTTACATTGAAATTTCGAGAAAGGAGCTTGTCCTCTCTTTTATATTCCAGAAATTCATGGTTATCTGTTGCTCTAGATATTATCTCATCATTGTTGACTCATTTTATGTGCAGTCGATTAATTTTGTAAAACTGATTACAATCAAGCATGTAAAAACTCTCATTGACTTCAAAAATTTAAGCATAATCTTGATTTAAGCCTATCTTTCCATTACATTTCAATCACTTAGTTTCACAAGCGAGGGCAACAGGTTATAAAGAATTCTATCACGCCTGGATTCATTGGAATTTTTCATTTCTTTATTAACCGCAACATTATCTAACCTCGTGGACACTAATTATACCAAGCATACCAAGAATACATGCAAATTAAATTGATTCTTGTAAATCGATGTTTAAAGATGTTAGTTGCAGTATTTCAAACTTTACATATGATTAGAATCGGATGGAGGAACAATCTGGACACATGGACAAATGTAATGGTTATTATGTATTTCATTTGAGTTAATAACCTTATAAATTGAATAAATTTCACATAATATAAACCAAACTGTTTATTCACAAAAATGATTTATACACAAAACAAAACATTAGCTTATGATTGTAGCTTAATACATGATTTGAATTGAATTCACTCCGAAGCTACCATTTAGTAGATTTGCTTTTCGACTCATTCTTGATCTGTGAACATCAATTTTCTTTAAATATTATAATAAATTCATCGTGGAAATGAGAAACAGAAAAAAACAAAACTGGAAATGAGGTAGCCAAGTTAATCGAAGTCCATCGCTTATCAAATTTTATCATTATCATCATAATCATTATCATAACCAGTTCTTTGTACAATTAACGATATTAAAAGTTGAAGATAGAAACAATTGGGTGGAAACACACAGAAATAATAATTTAGGTTTCCCTGTTGCTGGCAACCAAAAAGACATCAGGACCAAAAACAAGAGTAATAGGTTGAAAAGGGAGAGAGATCAAATTGTTAGTTAACCTTGTTTAACTTTATTATGTCTGCCATGGAAAGTCATCATTGCCGTATCACCACCAATTAATTTGATGATGTAATAGGATGATTGGGTGGGTAAAAATGATTTGATGAACAATAAGAAGTAAATTAATCTCGGGACAACAATGATTTCTTGGTTAACCAGAATACCAGAGACAATTTCATCGGCAACATAATCTTGTTCCAATAGGCCCATGTATTTAGTCTTGACTCCATCAAACATTCCAGTGTTGATGAACCATGGACAAACGACTGTGCAATGGATTCCATCATAACCCTCAGTTTTCATTTCATAACGTAAAGACTCGTCGATTCCACAAGAGCCAAATTTGGAGGCACAATAATCGGCTAATCGAGGTCCACCGCTGAGTCCAGCAACACTTGAAATGGTTACAATGTGTCCTTTATTGACTTTCATCATGTCCGGTAAAAATGATTTGATTATCCAAAAATTGGAGGTACAGTTGACAGCCATTGTTTTATCAATGTCTTCATCTTTCAGATCTATGAAACGTTTACCAGTTACAATACCTAAAAGAATTGATACAAAAATTCAAATTAATATCAGCTGAATTAATTTATTCAATTTAAAGTATAAATTTTTCTTATTCTCAAGGTTTACAGACTAATCAACTTGAGAGATTTGTTTTGCTTTTAAATCGCAAACATTTAACTTTGTAGCGATTTCTGTTATTAGCAACGCAATTTAATCATCATTTAGAAAGAGATTGAGTAACATTAGAAGTCAAGGAAAGAGCAACAATAATCAAGGAGTACAGATTAATCGGATGATTTGGCGTCTTATAAAAGTATTCACATGAAAGTTTGAAATAAATTACCTTAAGCAGTCATAACAACGCCATAAGCATTTGTCATAGCATTGGAATAA